TGTGACATCCAAAGAAAATTAGTAACTGATTTGGTGTATTTCAACCCTTATGCTGCCTTCCTTATTAAGAATACAGCTCTGACCTGCTCCTGTCAGGATATTCTTAATTGGTTGAGTTTTACTGCAGATAAGAAACCGATGGCCTCCTCCTCTAAGATCAAAGACACTCATTTATAAGATAACTCATAGGGAATGTGAGTGCCATCTGTGTTCACAAGATGGAGGACAGCAAACTCCTTTATGAAGATCAAAAGCATAACCTTAGATTTACAATCATGATGATCTCATCAAAAGAGTCACGTCAGCGCAAATTGGCTGTAAGACTGTAAAATAACAGCCAATCATCTTAACCTTATAAATAATACAATGACTTCTATAAGAAGAGCCAACTTGGAATGAGATGCGAAACCAATAAATTAAAACACAACTTGTCAGTCTCCTAAAATGACTCATGCTTTAAAAAACAACTTCACCATGCTTAATAGGTATGGAAAATATTCATAGTATAATTAACATCAAGAACCACTCTGTATGCCGCTGTCTCCACAATGACAAACATTCAGATCACAGGACAAGATAAAGTTCATCAGCAAAACGACTCCAACTCCAGGGGCTTTTTTTTATGCTTACAAATTCACAGCTTGAAATTTCAATGCTTATGTTTTAGAGTCCAAACATGCAATGCTGGAATTGTTTAATAGTGATTATTTTTTTTGGGGGGGGTGGTACTTGAAAAGCATAAGTTCATAATATTTTCTCAGAAAGATTTTGTTTTGTTTACACTTACCTCAAGACAGTTAGTAGTGAATTTATTTGGGTAAAGTTTATCATTACACCTCAGTTTTTAAGACTAATTTTCCTAAATAAGAACACTTCATTAAAAAAGAAACCAAAGCTACAGGACTTGAATAACTGTTTACATGATGGTCTTTAATCAATATTATTTATTCTCCCATAAGTTACAAGAATTAGCAGAAAACTTGTTTTTATTCTTCGACGATTTAAAACATGTATATAATGACGTTTTGTCATTTCCTCCCCTACTGCATCCTCTCATCCCCGGCACAGAAATTTCTTCACCCCAGCCAGCCTCATCCTGCTTTCAAGCTTGTTTGCTTCTTTTTAAAGTTTTATCTAAGAAGTTGTCACCAAGGTCTTAAAAACATTTCACGTGTTCAATTATTGTTTTCCTCTAAGATAACTCATTTAATGACAGGATGAACTGGATGCAAGCATCCCGCTGCTGCCACGTGGTTAATCCTAAAATGTAATACCGGGTGGTGACTGAATCTTCAATGAAAAGGAGCATTCTGGTTTTCATGACAGTTCGTGTCACTACATGCAAGAGGGAAAGTCTGCTCACATGCACTGCACAGGTGTGCACAGGAAGCATGGTCTTGTCACTTTCTGAAAACGGTGGAATTTTCTTCATGTGGCCATGCCTCCTGGAAGGTGCTAATCAGGAGGGAGAGCTGCCAACTGGCTTCTTTCAATGTTTTGTTGACAGTTTCTTTTGACTTATTCCCTGTGCGGTGGATAGAATGAAAGTCCTCCTCCAAACTTGCTCACATCCCCATACCAGAAACTGTAATATGTCTCCTTACATATCAAAGGGAAACTACGTGTCTGATCTCACAAAGGCCGCTATCCAGCTACTCTATCATTAAGAAAATCGTTGTACATTATCTGAGCTTTATTTTTTAGCAAAGTCAACTGACTCTTTAAAAGTGGACATGGAAAACAGAAAGGGCTGATGGGAAGTCTGAACAATACAACAGTGATTTGGGTGCAACATTGCTGGCCTTCAAGGAGGGGAAGGCAGTTTATAAGCATGAACATAGGGTGTCTTCATACTCGAACAACTTTTTCCTAGGCACATTTTCATGCAATATCCCCTCTCCTTCTCAGCTTTAGGCTTCTGCTGGAAAACCAACCGGCTCAGTGTCACAGTCTTTCCCACCAAAGTATGTAAGAGTCTTTCTCCTCACACTATGTGGCCATAGTGACTTGGTAGATTACCCTATCCCTTCATTTGCTTAGCACTTACAACTGGCTAGCCCTCCGTGTGGTGTAGCCATGACTCTGAACTGAGGGAAATCAAAAGAAGGATACATTTTTTTCAGTCCATGTCCATTCATCTCTGTGACTCTGGAAAGCCTCCTCTTGCCTTAACCAACAACTGACACCAATCAAATTTTCTGGTGGCATATATAAGAAAACTTAGCTTGGGGCTCATCTTTCTAAGATGAGCTCCTTTTCTTTTCTTAAGGGAGGTATCAGTGTGAACATCAGAGATAAAACAAGTAGAATGCTTGGGATCGAGATCCATCCCTGGAGCATGAGCTGGCTTTTTGGAGCCCAGTACCTAGGGTGGGACACCTTGCGCAGCCTTGGTGCAGCAACGGGGAGGGACTTGGACCTGCCTCAACTGAAGGTACCAGGCTCTGCTGACTCCCCATGGGAGACCTTGCCTTGGAGGAGGTGGGAATTGGGGGTGGGGTGGGGAAGAAGGCTAGGGGGCGGGAGGGGGGAGAACAGGGAAATTTGTGCTTGATATGTAAAGTGAATAGAAAATTTCTTAATAATAAATTTTCTTTAAGTTCATAAAAAAAAAAAGAAAGTAGAATGCAAGGAGCCAACAGGTTACTGAAACCAGATTTAACCATCAGTAGACAAAGGCAAAAGTCATTCCCAAATTAATTCAAGCATCGGAGGTACCTGATGTTTTGGGACATAGAGACAGAAAGGGGTAGAGTTATGAAACTGGTTAAACCATGTTTACAAAGAAGCCACCCTATGTGAGAAAATTCTTTTCCTTTCCTCTAGAAGAATTAAGGCCTACTACTCACACTCTAAGGATGAATACAATATAATTACTGGGTCTTCCCATACTATTTTCTTCCACAATGTGGCTCTCAAAATGCTAGCTTCCGCATGCTTACTTTCAAGAAAGATGGATATAAGGCTCTGTGTAGCATCATTACTTTAAAAATCCTTCAACTTAGCATATAAAAGCAATGGTGAACAAAATAACAAAAATGTATCATTCAACAAGAAATGGTGTTTGTTTACATAACCCTATAAATGTGTAGTCAAAGTGATGGTGATAAAGCATGACTAAAGTCAATGTGTCTCTCTTCTAAGTATGACACAGCCATACTTTCCAAACTTATTTCTTCAAGATCTCTTCCCTTGTCTAAAATTCAGATAAATCTGTGGGATAAATTTGACCATGATCATGTATTAAATCTATCGAAGCTTTATTTTTCTTGACCACTAAATGATTATGTGGAGGATAGGGCTTCCCACAAATTGTCACTTCTGTACTGTTATATATAGAAAATATTATGCCATAGGAGGAAGGATAAGTAAGTAAATAACAGAAAAATTGTGCCAGGCAAGTTGTTTTCGTGAGACAGATTGAACATCATGATGTCACAGTTGATAAGTCTCACCCTGCATATAGTATTTCATTGATCTCCAAAGATCCTATATTTTAATCAGAAAAACAAGTAAAGCTTGAAAATACAGGGGAGAAATAAAAATGAAAGCATGCAATGAGAAAAGAAACAGAACGGTGGAAAACACATTACTTCAGAGAAATTATGCTTCTAAATGTCTATTTTTAGTATCATTAAAAACTACGAATACTATCAGATCCATGGAGTAGGAAGATTTAGATAACAAAAAAAAGCTATTGAAAATTAAATTAAGTTTACTTTTGTTAGGGTCCTAGAGAACTCCCACAAAAGACTACCATCCATGTGTGCAATCACCAAGAGAATTTATATCTCGAGAGTAAGAGCTCCAGCATGCTAGCCACACATCAGACACAAAGGCAAAATGGTGACCCTTTTTGGCTCTTTTATACACAGCTAAAGAAATTCTAAAGATATTTAGGTCATCTTATCTATTATTGGCTTATGCCAGTGGCAATCATATTAGTATGCTCCTGATTGGTTAGGGCTAGCAGGGTTGGCTAACGCTGTAGTTTTTCCATTTGGGGGCAGGTCTGGACAAGTCCCAGGCTCTGTCCTTATTTGATTATTACCTTGAGATACTGTGGGGGCTGGCTCAGGCCTGGTTGGTCCCCTTGTCTTTGTTGTCAGGGGTGTTGGTGATTGATTACCCTTTGCTCATGGCTTCCTCAGAAACTGTCTGTCCAGTTTCAAGAGTCAGGAACTGAGGCCTAGTTCTTAACTGAGTTACTAGGAGCCTGTCATGGTATTAGTCTGGCCTTCTCAGTTTTAAAAAGAAATCTATGAAGTTGTAACTTAAACCTAGGACAAAATCTTACCCAACCAAAAAAATAGTAAGTACATGAAGAGGAGAGAACAAAGGAGAAAATTGTAAGATGATATTGGGGTGTCCACATTTTAAGAAACAGGAGGTTTTGGAATAAATGAATATAATCTTGATGAAAGATATCAATAATCTAACTTAATAAGTATTCTTAAACCAGAGAAAATGAATCTCTAGAAAGTGTTCTCTAAGTGCCCAGAAAAATTAATGGGCATGGAATCACACCCACCAGAGTATATTAGTAATTTCCCAACACCTGACAGGACTCTGCTTATGACCATGATGAAGTAGCTGATACTGATAAAGGTGCCTGGGGGAAACAATTTTTAGAGTAGAACAAAATGTAAAAATTAATTTATGTATCTATCCAACTCCTATAATAATATCAAAAGCTTTGGGTTACAGTCATCATTGCAAGTGAGAACTGAAATGTCATGACAGTTGGGCAAAGACAAGTGAGTGGCAACAACAGTCCCTTATTTACTTTTTCTTGAGTTTTATTTCCCAACTTGAATACAGGGGACTAGAGACAAGGCAGAAAAGATTCTCACTAACTACAGAAGTTGGACCCAATGCTGGAACAGCCAGAGTGTACCTGCTGCTATTCTCACAGGATGAAAAAAAAATGAGATTAGATCTTCAAAAATATATGTAATTTTCTCCTCAGATCAGTAACAGTTGTCTTTTTCCATGTACAGGGATAAGAACCCAAGAAGCACAGCTGGAAATCTCTGCACAGCTGAAAATCTAAACAGAAATTTCATCCAGCAAGTAGTTCTGGGAAAGCAGGAATGGGAGTTGAAGTCTTGTTAACACATAGGGCCCTGGGATCTCTCTCGCCCTCTCAAAGTTACCACCTTGCCCAAAAGATGTGGGATTAAAGATAAATCAAATACAGTAATCAGAATAAGTCCTGAACCTAACTTCCAAGACACATATGTTGACAGGCTCTCCTATTTTTCAACCAAGCTTTCCTATATTTAACACAATAATGTTTAAGCATATTTGCAAAAAGAGGAAAATGGGGCTAACTCGATGATTGACAGATAAAAGGAAAGCTAGAAGAACACTCACATTTGATGTAGGTGTAACAGTGACATGTAAGCACTCTAACATAATAATAACTGGTATTTTATAATATTTGAGAAAAATCTGGTGAACATTACTTGAGACAATATATCATTAAAAAGTAACTCAGTGAAAACTTGTCCAACTTCGACATGATGGGTTTTGTTTTATCTTATTCTATTGTATTTTTTATCACATTTTGTGTTTTGTTGTTATCTGTTAGATGCCTGATTATTTTCTGAAGAGAAAGAAAAAGAGAGTGGATCTTGATGGGAGAAAAGGTGGAGAGGAACTGGAAGGGGTGGTAATCAGGTGCCCTATATGAGAAAAAAAATCCCTTTTTAATAATAAGGGAAAAAAGAAAAGTATAGAACAGAAACAATGTAAATTAAGAGCAAATTTATTGTATTTGTAAATTATTAGGTTCTGTGGACAAAAAGATCAGTTATCTGAAAACGATCCTGGAGGAGGGAAAGATGGAGACAGCGAGGGACAGACAGACACTGAAATGCTTAAGGATAGCACAAATTCAAAAATATGGACCCATGAACAGGGAGAAGCAATATTCTAAGCCTTTCTTAACAAATATTTTCCAAAATGAGAAAATAAATTAACTTATAAATAAACTTAAACATTAAAAACCCAAAATAAAAAGAAAAGAAAAGAAAAAAGGCTTAACGGGAAAGATTAAAGATCACATTAAAAAAAAAAATAAAAGGACATAAGGGCAGAAGGAAAGTTAGCTCTGAAGTGGAGGGGCCAGAGATGGCAGCGGGGGCTAGGGCGAACACAGTTGAAATATATTGTGTGCGTTCATAAAAATTACAGGACACCCATTCTTTTCTAATAGGTAGAGGATAATAACAACATAATAATCACACTGATGATAAAAATAAGATGAATGGATATACATGTAAAGTGCTCAAAGATACAAAAATAAAACCCTGCCAATTTAGAATCCTAACTGTTGAAAACATCCATCAAAAATGAAATCAAACTAACAAATATTTTAGGCATACAGAAAATTTTGTGCTTTCTCACTGTACTAGAAGAACGACTCAGGGGTTTATCTGATTAAGGAAAATAAATCACTAATAAAAGCATCATAAAATAGCATTTTTATGAATGTCAAACAATAAAAGCATGTAATATTTAAAACTTTCCCAAAGAAAAATTCTGGAAAAAAAAATATGAAAAGCAGGAGGGAATAAATGGAGTTGAACGACAAGGTTATTGTGTCACTAGGGAGAGAAGTAAAGGATGGAATTCATATAGAACATAAGGTCAAACATGATGATCATATCTGTAGGATAGTGTCTATAATATAGTATAAGAAAACATAGCTAAATAGTGACAAAAACAAATGAAATAAAAACATTAGTATAAAAAAATTAAAGAGAAAGAATAAACAAATGTAACCAAAAGATAGTAGCGAATTTACCAGTGTAAACTCAATAGTCTCAGTAACTAAGTTAAATTTAAATACATAATACTCAATTAAATATAGCCCACCCCCCTGGCAGGAGAAAGGGAGGAAGGAGGAACTGGGATTTGTATGTAAAACGAAAAAAAAATGTTTTTAAATAAATTAATTAAAAAAAATATCCAAGTAAGATATAAAAAAATCTGGTTCAATGAGATGTTGCTTGGAAAGGACATAATTTAAGTGGAAAGGATGAGGTATTTTGTAAGTAAGGGGCAGGGAGATGGCTCAGCAGATAAAAGATACTTGCCCCAAAGCCTGATGACCTGTGTTCAATCCCTTGGGTACACATGGCAGAAGGAAGGATCTGACTCCCTCAGTCTGTCCTCTGATATCCTAACACACACACACACACACACATACACACACACACACACACACACACACACACACACACACACACACACACATTCAACTAAATAATTGTAATAAAAATACTTAAACAAAACTAATGAGACTATATGACCCCAGACAAAGTAAAAGTTATAAGAAGGAACATTATGGAAAATAAATCAGACATTTCAGAATGATAAACAACTCAATTTAATAGGAAGATAAAGCAAATATAACTGTATATTAATCTAAAATCTCAACTTAATATTTGTACAAAATAAACCTCTTTCAGAAAGATGATTTTAAGAGCCAAACTAACCAATGTAATTTTACTAAATAAAGGGAATAATTCAAAATTACTGTATGTTTTATTTTTCCAATTTTATATGGAATATTGTTTTTATGAATATAACTGGAATACGTGATGAACTATAATGACTGTCTCACCAAATTTCAGATGACTATAATCAGACATCATATTTAATGCAATCAAATGGAAATTAAAGCAGAAATCTCTGTAACTCTGTAGATATAATGTCTCCTCAAAAATGTTCAAACATTGAAAGTTAGGCAACTCATTTTAAAACCAAATCATGTAACTAAGAAATGAATACCAAACAGAGAAAATATTTTCAACAGCTTAGACACATCTGGCTAATCAAATACAGTATGATATACATAACTATAAGTTGTGATTGGTGAAGATTTTCAGGTTTATATATATATAAGTGAAAAAAGGAAGGCATTGAAACTCATTCAAAGATGCTAGATTTTAAAAATAAATTAGAGCCTGTGCAAATAAGAAAGAAGGGGTCTGGAGAGATGCTCAGGGGTACAGAGCTCTTCCTGCTCATCTGGGGACAGGAGCTCTTTTACCGGCACCCAGGTCAGAGGAACGAGAGGCTCTCTTCTAGCCTCCATTGGAACATGGACACACGGCAAACACTCACACAAACACAGACACATCAATAAAAATCAAACTAAATCTGAAAAACAGGAGAAGGAAATTATATATAATATCAATGAAACAAAGTGCGTCTAAAAATGCAGAAATTCAACATGCACACTGAGGATGCAGATGTTGTACTGAATATGTTACAACTCATTATAAGATCCTTTCTAAATCTAGTGTCACACAAACTTCATCAAAATCAGAAAGTTCAGAAGAGAAAAATATGAGATGCGAAATCAAGAAAATGCACACACAGAACAACAAAAGAAAATGCAACACAGTACAAAACTAAGGAAATCTCTGAGTAGTTGAAGGGAGTCTCTATAGAAAAAGTACTACACACAGGGTAGAGTAACAATAGGCTGCAGCTGGTGACTCACAGATAAAGAGGTGTGTGTGTGTGTGTGTGTGTGTGTGTGTGTGTGTGTGTGTGTGTGTACACGTATGTTGGGTATGTGTGCATGCAAAATGAATGTATATGCTATGAGTTGCATGTGTGTGTGGCGCATGTGTGTATGTTGTGCATGCATGCAAGTGCTGAAAGCTTGTATCATCATGCAGGCTAGAGTAGGAAGGAAACAGATGGCTTCGACAGCTCTCCACTTTATGGCCTTGAAGCGAAGTCTTCCCGTGAAGCCCAAGATCATCATTTGGGCTAGGCTGGTTGGCCAAAGGACTCCCAGCATATACCTGTTTCTTGCTTCTTTCCAGGCTGGGGTTACAGGCACACACTTCAAAGTTCAGCCTTTGATATGGGTCCTGTGGATTTACAGTCCATCCTTACATTGACTTATGCAGGAACGCTTGGATCGGTCTGGGAGGGGGGGGGACTGGACCTGCCTGGACTGAGTCTACCAGGTCGACCCCGGTCCTCAGGGGAGACCTTGATCTGGAGGAGGTGGGAATGGGGGACGGGCTGGGGGGAGGGGGAGGGGGGCGAGAGGGGGAGAACAGGGGAATCTGTGGCTATTATGTTGAACTGAATGGTGTTGTAAAACAAATTAAAAAAAATCAACAGGAAAGAGACACTATAAAAAAAAAAGAAAGTTGCTCATCTTTCAAGAAACAACTCCCAACTCATGCAAGAAACCATAATCAAACTCAGTGCGCAACACAACCACCAAACCACCCTGAAAGCAGTAGGGGGAGCTTGTTGAGAGGAAAGGCCTCCACAGGAAAGGGAGGAGCATGAGAGGGGGATGGGAAGTGAAAACCAACAAACATCAGTATATACCTGTATGAAAATTTCCAAGAACAAAATTAATTTAAATTAGTTCATTAAGTAAATTTAAATAAATAAGTGATTGGAATAAATGTGGTAAGTCTTAAACTTGTGCCATAGTGTGAGGATTGTGACAAGGTCCAGAGAGCAGTCAATTAAAAGAAAAATCTGAAATAAATTTCTGAGTGCAAAACAAAAGTGGAAAACAGTATCTCGAAGATTGAGTACTGAAGAAAAGCACAACACTAACAGGTAAGTGAAAGACACACCAAGTCTGCTTGCCTTTACCTGGTCAGGACACTCACTCCATCAGAATCTTTGCCATTTGCTTTATAAAAGTCTGAACCTGTAATTACCACCTCTGAAGCTTGGATAGTACAGGAGGATTTCACCAAGTTTTTACTAAATAAAGAGCACACATGAAGCATTCTGGGTCTGAGACACCCTCAATCTAATTACAACACGGTACGGTAGCTTCAAAAGACTTTTTAATGTGTGGCCATCAGGAGAGAAACAGAAAGCTGATTTCATACTCACTGAAGAGATCCCATCTATCTTAGCACTACAAATCTAGGTTTGATGTAGAACATTACAATGTAAAATATCAGGTCAAAGCCTGGACAGCTTCCATATATACTGACCTCCTACCCATGACATAACATTCAAATTCAGTCTTTAGGGCTTAATATCTAAATGTATTTTTGTTAATTTTATGAGCACATCCTATCCAAAGACTAACGATCCCCTTTGCTGTGTGTTGTTCTCTGTTCTTAATGGCTATTCTCATTGATTACTTCATCGTGTTATGCATTTGTTAAGTACATTAGTACGCTTAGGATGATAAGTGGAAGGATCCTTGCTCATCTGCTCAAATATCATATTTTCAACAGGTTGACAGATTAATGTCCACAGGAAGGCCATTAGCCATGGTCTCTGCTCTCTGCAATTAAGGTGACACATAAAATGAAAATAACTGGAAACAACTAGTGCAAGACTTTCCAGAGGAATCCCTAGGGATGATGTCCAGAGAAACAGGAATCCACAGTATTATGTTGGTGTATGATTTGTTCTATGTTTGCTGTAACTTTTGGAGA